TATTTTCATCCTGCCTTGCTTTATATCCCCCCTTTCTCCTTTACTGCATAAGGCTTTTAAAGTTGATTTAAAGTCCACTATTTTTGGGGAGTTTCTTTTTCCTGTGCCTTAACATTTATTCGTAAAACCGTCATGAATTGTTGGCGTCCATACTAGAAAATTAACATCAGATCATTCTTCAATTTTGGAAGCATCACTAACAATCCAGCATTAGCAGATGGCAAAGGGTTGCGCCACCAACACATATGAAGAGGCTCGAAAGCAACGGCTTGAAGAAAACAGAAAAAGATTCGAGGTAAATTAGTGTTTGTGTAAAACTCCTTTTAATACTGGTGCTTGGAAATACAATTATATATTTGAGTACACGCGATGAAGCCTGGACATTCCGTCAAGTGATATCCAACCCATGTGGCCAGAGCCTATCCTTGCCACACTGTCTGAAATGTTGACCCATATTTTCTCCTGGATTTGACATGAGAGGGTGTGCTAAATATACCAAGTCATTCTTTTGATTCTCATCTAACATTCTCGGAGACGGAGATTTTGGTAGACTCTTGTATCACTGTGGTGCCTGAATGTTGAGAGTACCTGAGATTTGGTGACGTGAAATAACAAGCTTCAAGTTGACATTTAAAGCATCAGCTTTAAAAGTCAGTTACATGAAAATGTTTCCATCTCTTTTGTTGAGTGTGGTTTTATAGGGTGAGAGCTTTTTTCTAAACAACTGTGTATTAAATCTTGTATTCTGTTATTGATTTTGAGACAATTAACGTTCTATTATAACCAATACTGCTTTGCTTTTGTTAATTCTACTTTAATTAATTTACAAGTTCTTTACTTTTGCTCTGAAGGATCTGGGGATTTCAAAAATTTCAAAGAATTATCTGAACTCGTCACACCAGAGAAGAAGGCTCCTCCGGTGAAGTTATGTTTTCTTTAGTTTTACTCTGAATAATCACAAGCATCTGACTGATCTCTCTTGCTCTGCCTCTGCAGCAATGTCGACCAAAACAAAAATCAAATAGTAATGATGTCGTGGAACCAAGACGCTCTTCTCGCGTGCGAAATTCTGTTCCTTCATATCGTGAGGAGGTAGGCATCAATATCAACTTTATTCTTATAGGACTTGCATACTTTGAACTACAAATTTACTTATATCTGTTTATGAATTTTAACCACGAGGTGGTCAGGTGGTAATTTATTGCTCTTATGTGACCAACAAATCTTGGTTTTCCTGTAGTATCTGTCTAATGATATCTATCTGACTAAAACTCCTATTTGGTCATCGCAAGTTTCGGCGCCCATCAATTTGATACTCCTAAGGCTTTCAACATCACTTTAGTACTGAGAATATGATTGCTGAATGGTGTACTTGGAATCAGAAGTATAGTTTTGGTCCTCAACAGTAATGCATTATTTTAGTACCTTTGGACTGGTGAACTTGGAAGAATCATAGTTTTGCTTACTAAAGTGATACAAAAAGTCTTCAGTGTTGAAACCACACCATATATTGGGAACCACTATAATGTTTCATGCTAGATCTTTCTGTAAACAATTTCATTGGGTTTTCCTTCTTGAAAAAATTAGACATTTTTTTTGGCCGTTATAGGTATTCATAGATCTTCCACCTTTGCGGAAGAGGTCAAGGTCGTCTTCATCATGGGGAAGGTGCTTATTCTTTTTGAAAAGGTTTCTCATTGTTGCATGTGAAATATTACTGACAAGGTATGGAAATCTCAGTTATGTTGCAAGGCCACTAGATGAAATAAAAGAAGCCACAGATGAAGAAAGAAATCGTGCTTTCATGGCTGCAGAAACACTTCTAAGCGATTTACAGACTTCAAATCCAGCATTTATTAAGTCAATGGTCCGGTCTCATGTTTATAGTTGCTTTTGGCTGGTGAGTTACAATAAAGAGATTCAATTGGCTGCATTCATAAATTGCATATTCAAGATCAATATTATCAAACAGGTCTCTTCGGTAAATTGGTTCTTAAACTAGTACAAAACTTCCCCTGAAGCACTTATTTTGATATAATCATGCTTACTATTTTATGATTATCTTTATTATGATAGGGTCTCCCTAATAGATTTTGCCACGACCATCTTCCTAAGACTACGTGTGACATGATTTTAGAGGATGAAAATGGCTCAGAATTTGAGGCTGTTTTCCTTGGCAATAGAACTGGGCTCAGCGGAGGGTGGAGAGGATTTGCATTGGATCATAAGTTGGATGATGGTGATGCACTTGTTTTTGAATTAGTTGAACCTACCAGATTTAAGGTACTCTTAGTCGTCCATTATCTCATGATTATTATTCTTTTACTAATTTGACTATTGCCTATAACTGGTTCTGAGGATTGAGTGCTATGCATTATTACTAATAGGGGTCATAGCAACAGTCATGGCTTATAATGAAAGATGACAATAAACGGAAGGCCTGTTAGAATGAAGGATCAAAAACAAGAAAGAAACAGAGATAAGAATATTGCTATCCCAAATCAGGGAGATATCAGAAAAAATTTCACAATATTCAACACTCTTCTCAACCTGGACCTTAGATCTCCATACGGATTTCTGAATTACCCCTTTGTTCAAATATTTGTAGACAGGAAGTGGTTAGCGAGCATGAATGAAATCAAGAACTTTTAATTTGCCCTTTTAAAGTAGTCAATTACTGTTGATTTATGGTTCATGGATATATTTACGGTTTACTACTAGAATAGTAAGGTTTGAATATGGTTTACTTTTTATGGTTCATGAATAACTTAGATTCGCATCTAACATATCTTCATATTTTTACCGCAGATTTACATTGTCAAAGCCTTTCCAGAATCAGCTGAAGATGGACAAGAGATTTTGGATGAACAAGTTGATACTTGTGCAACCAAGAAGCACAAACCACAATCAAACAAGACAAAAATTCTTAAACAAGGTATTGTGCATGAAACTAAAGAATCTGCAAATTCTCAGGAATACATTGCAGAAAATAATGCAGACAATGGAATCGAGCCACAAGGGCTAAACACAACCAGGAAAACTAGGTTTTCTCAGAGAAAATCTCAGAAAGAATCTGAAGATTGTAAACTGCTTCCTTCTGATGGTTCTATAAAGGAAGAAAACATTGAACAAGGGAAAAATTGTACTCCTAAGAAAGCAACTTCTCAAGCAAACAAAACAAGGTCAAAACGTGGTACACGAAACAAATGACTCAGGAACAGGTGTGAAGCTAGAAAGTAACACTAAAATGAAGTCAACACAGATGTGGCTGACCCTGGTAAAATGGAATTAGTTTAGCATGTTGGCAGTGAGTTAAAGTACTACAAACTAAAACCAGTTGAAGCAGGCAAATTGGGTTGTACTAAACCCAACTAAACAACCTGTTTGTAAGTTCCTCAGAAAGAAGCCATAGCCCTAGAGAGTATAATGGAGGCTCAAATTTTGTGTAATGAAATGCAGATATATGGATGAAGCATCGGTGGACATAGGTAGGGAAGTAGTCATTATTTTGTGTTGACTGATATAATTTAAAGAAAGCTTTGTATGTTTTGTTGGTAACGTGCACTACTTCCTTCTATCCTGTTTTTCCTTTTCCAATGTTGGCAGTCTTTGTTTTCTTATACTCTGTTGCAATTTTCTTTTCTTTTTTGTCTAAATAACAATGAGTTTTAAGGAGTTGCAATCAAATAGATGAACAATCGATAAATGATCGGAATAGATTCTCCCTGTCCAATTCATAATCATTTCAATTAAAAAAAAAAAAAACTGGTATGTTCTTGTGCTGGTGGTTCAATTACTCGAAAAAGTAATGGTTGCCCCTTTAATATTTGAGAAATCTTCGCGTTAGCAGGTTTCTTCCCTGCTTCGTTGTAATGGACCTCGAAGAGATTCATACAAATCCAAGAACAATCTTACCGAGCACTTAAAGCGAGTGGAATTTATTCGATTGTGCTCTTTTGGTCATTACCTTACAAAATGAATATTTAGCAAAATTTTTGTTTGAAATATTCTTTTTGCCAATTATAACTATAGCTATTTGCAGTTTGCTCTTGCCACTTGCCAGTTCCCTCGAAGTGGGCATCAAGGCGTTACATCCAAACCTATTTGCTAACGTACCGGCCCTTTTTTATCCGAATAAAAGAAGACAGAATCATATTCCTTTGGTTTATAGATATATCTTTTCCACCAAACAATAATTGTGGACATGGATATCAGCTGTATTGGGTTTTATACAACCCCACAAGGACCCAAACCTATAGAATCACAGAAATATGCTAACGTACCAACCTCTTTTTTGAGAAATAGAATCATATTCCTTTAGTTTGTATACATTTTCCACCAAACAACAAAAGAATTATAGATATTGATATAAGCTATATTTTCACTATCTTGTACAATCCAGAGTTGCTTAAAATAAGTTTTTTTTGGCACTTTATGAGATAAAACTCTTCTCATACACTTACTTTATAAACTATAAAATCACTTGAAATAAGTTAATCCAGATTAGTTTGTGTACGTTTACCACACATAATTGTTTTTAACGTGTTGTCCTCCAACATTTTTTTACAAAAATCCTTCCAAATTTCGACCCTAATTAAAAGCAAATGGGGAATATGCCAACGTGCCAACGCTCTTTTTTGAAAAATAGAATCATATTCTTTTAGTTTATATACTTTTTCCACCAAACGATATTGATATAAGCTATACTTTCATTACTTTGTACAACCCCATTGGGACCCAACTTGCCAGAATTGCTTCAGGTAAGTTTTTTTTTTGCATTTTACGAGACAAAACTCCTCTTTTATGTTTATTTTATAAATTATAAAATTGCTTAAAATAATTTAATCCAATTAATTTACGTCGCTACGTTTAATAGTTTAAGTAGTCCTTCAATTCAACGCATAATTGTTTTTGGCGTGTTGTCCACCAACAATTTTTCACAACAATCCTTCCAAATTTCAACCCTAATTAAAAGCAAATGGCGAAGTAGTCCAAAAAAAGGGGGAAAGTGGCATCCACATGTGCCCCATTATTATTCGATCACACCTCATCAGAAATTACGTAACATACTGCAACCTGACACGAGTACTAGAATTACTGTCCATACAGTAATCAAGACCCCAGAGAAAGAGGACACCATTACACACACACACACACACATTCAGCGAGGCTCATACAGGTAACGTGATCCTTACACACACACACACACACACACACACACATATATATATATACAGCGAGGCTCATACAGGTAAAATGATCCTTATACATTAGCAGGCAAGAAAGCTCTTCCAGGCTCTCGCAAAGCCAAAGGTCCATGACACCCAAGAACCTGAAAAGCATAAAGGAAAAGAAAAATTAACTTGGTCAAGAAAGTGATTTCAGGAGAGTTAAAAACATCAAGCTTCCACTCATTGAATACTTGACAAGTAATCAAATTCTTTCCAGAACATCGTACTATTATAGTAGGAGACAAACCTTGGCATTGACTCCATCTGGCACAACTCGGTTCTCTGACTTGAACTTCAGATACTCAGCGCGGCTAAATTTGGTGAATCCCCTGAAAATAGAAAAAGAAAAGATAATTTTCATGGTCAATTTGATAAATTAACATAAAACTCGGCTGAAAAAATTGACATGTTTCCGGGAGAAAATATAGGACTCCGAGGGTAACATAGCAAAGCATTGTCAGATTCCCATATAGAACGGCATTGGGTTCATTCATGGGATATGAATTTATGAGTCCTGCGAACCATGTTGGAATTTATGACTACTTCATATTGAATTAAACCAGAATGCTTTAGATCAGAAATTAGAAACTGGACAAAAGCAAACTTACAGTAATCATGAAAAACAAAAAATGGATGAGCCCAGTAAAGACATGGAATTTCATAATTGACACAGACAAGCCATTAAAAAAGAAGAGATGAACTTATGCTTCCTTACCACTTCCTGCTGACAATGATCTTCTGGCGACCGGGAAACTTGAATTTAGCACGGCGCAGAGCCTCCTGAGCATGGTGGCCGTTGTGGTCCCTGCAACGAACGGACAGAAGCACTTGACCAATGTTGACTCTAGCACAAGTTCCCAGTGGCTTCCCAAAAGCACCCCTCATGCCTGTCTGAAGCCTATCAGCACCAGCACATGAAAGCATCTTGTTGATACGCAGAACATGGAAAGGGTGAACCCGGACTCGAAGGTGGAAAGAATCTTTCCCTGCATACTTGGCCATGTATTTGTTGCATGCTATACGCGCAGCCTCAAGAGCTTCACTTGAAACATTCTCCTTCTCCCAAGATACAAGATGCACACAGAAAGGGAGCTCATCAACCCCTTTCTTTTTCATCCCAACATCATAAATCCTGATCTTTGGGTCAGGTACACCACGGCAAAATCGAGATTTCGGGTATGGCTTGTTCTTTATCTGGCGATAACATCTCGCAGGTCCTGCAAAACCATAACCAGCATCTCATCAGGAAAGCACAAAACAATCTCCAAGCAAAACTCAAGCACCAACACAACCATGTCATAATAAGCTTTAACTGAATCCTCCAAATTATGATATACAAAATGATATCAAAATTCAACTCAGTCGAACTCCGAACTTTTCTAGTTTTTGATATATTTAGTGTGTAAACAAGCTAAGAAATTCGTTGGCAAAAGAAAGAAAAAGAAAAAAAAAAAGCTAAGAAATGCAGAGTAGCAAGCAACAGAATTGGATGAAGAATATAGATACGAGAAATCACCACTTACTCCTTCCCATGATTAGCCTTCTTCTTCGCCTCGTGGCCAGCCACTGCTGCGAAAACCCTAGAAATGGAGGAAATGAGGAAAGGCGGACACAGTTATATAGGTATGCAAAGACGCGCGGACGCGAATATGCGCCAGGCAGGTGTACACGCATGTGCTTACGTCAAAGTGGGCCCTACCAGAGAGCTTGGGTCCATACTATCCAATGTGGCAGCCCATGAAAACGGCCGACCGGTTAGCTTATTGGACACGCTTCTTTTTAGCCCAATACGACACCGACATATTGATAAAACGGCAATAAATAATTCTTGGGATTCGTCAATCATGTTCTAGGAGTTTCCACTCCTGCAATTATTTTGTTTATTTATTTTTGATTAAAGTATGCATTTAATCTTTTAATTTTGTACAATATTTTAATTTAATTTTTTAATTTTAAAAAATATATACATTTAGTCTTTTAATCCTAAAATCATTAGACATCAGTGATAATTTTTTGTAACAGTTATGGATGTTTTGAAAATTAAACTTAATATGTTAGTGTTTGAAAATATTTTATCAACATTTAAGATCTTAAGGTTATCATCTTTTTAAAGAAATTTTAGGGTTAAAGAATTAAAAGTATACTTTTTAAAATTAAATTTTGCATAAAATTAAAGGATCATATGTATACTTTAGCCTTTATTTTTTTTATTTTTTGTGCTTTGTAGCCTTTTTTTATCATCAAGCAAAAGAAATTCGATTTTCTTAAATAAAATCAATAATTAATTTAAACCTTACAAATAAGAAAGTCTCATGCGAAAGACTATACCCAGATCTAATTTAATAATATTGAATATCAAATAAATAATTGAATGAGAATATGAGTATAAAAAAGACACATGCATGTACCTATTCTTATTTTCTCTCAAAAGCAGACTTTAAGACGCAATTTAGGAAGAAATCAACGACATTTTACCTTATTGCTCAAGAGATAAATCGAATACAAATAACAACCCAATATAAATATAATGACACGACAAACTATGTATTTGAATATAAAAATTAAGAATACAAGCCTCAAAGGCTTGATAGACAAGATAAGCCTCAACATTAAATTAGCATTGGTGATATGGATGCCATAAAGTTAATAATTTATAAGCGTAAAGTTTTATACTGCAAATTATGTCCTTGAAAAGTAAATTTACATTTTTCAAGAGATCATTTAGTAATATAATTTTTCAAAAACTAATCAAAATCATAAAGCAAATCATATAGAGTCCGTTTGGTTCAATCCTATTGCAGGATTGCAATGGTAATTAAAATTGCATGACCAAAAAAAGCATGTTTGGTTGTTTTTTAGTTTAGTAATGGGGTTTACTATGGTAATGATTATTACCAAAAAATTGGTAATGCCCATTCATACCTCCCCCTATGAATCCCCATTACCGTTTATTGCATGATTCAAAAAGTCTAATTTACCCTTGTATTTGTTCTCATTGCCTCCTCCCTCTTTCTCCATTATCAAAAGCCAATCCCACGGCACCATTAGCCCCATCGACCAGAATCAACATTTTCCCCTTTCCTCTCCAACCCTTCTCTCTATTTTTTTTCCCTGTGGCAAGCCCTTCTCTTTTTTCTCCCTCCCTTCATTATCGTCATTTTCATCTTTGGCCATCAACATTTGAAGCTGTGAATGTCTCCCTTTCATATCTGTTTTCTATGAACGTCTTCCTCTGAATCTATTTTTCTGTAAATGTTCAAATCAGTATTTGTTGGGACAAACATGAGATTTTCATGCTTCCGTGGTTTATATCTTGGTTTTTATTTTGTTCCCTCTACAAGATCTGAAACCATGTTTAAAACTTGATTCATATATTTTGTTTCCCTTTTAATTTATTATGCTCATGATCTGCTCAAGATTTTTTCTTTTAAACATGCTGATTCTTATTTGGGTTTTGTACTGATACTAGTGTTTTGGTTGAGAAAGAAGATGATTGGGAATTGAGAGTTTTTGGACATTTTGGACCTTTTATAATTATGATTAAATATGAAAAATAATTTATGTACATCTTGTTAATAACAAACTAAATATATTGATGGTAATCATTATTGCATTGTATCCTATTGCATTGCACCCCATTGCATTTCCAAAAGAGTTTGCAGTTGAACCAAACGGGCCCATAGTTTTGCCTCTTTTCAAATGGCAAAACACAGTCAAGAACCTCTTGGTTCAATAGCACCTTACACCTCTTCTCATGAACGAGGATGTGAATTCTCGAGTAACAAAAAAATGAGATGTGGGATGGGTGCACATGTGTGATATGTTTATGTGAGTCCCTCTCTATGGGGGTGGATTAAATTGATAGTATCCAAAAATAAAAAAAATTAAGAGGATGCAACTTTAGCCAACTCAAATAGAGTTCACTTCCCAAGTGCTTATTAGACTAAACTTCTAAAAGCCAAAATTCAACCCAAAAAAAAAAGAAAGTGTGTATAGAAAGAACTAAAAATAACAACTTCTATGTGGAACCTACAAGATTACAAAATTCTAAGATTACATACAATGCTACTAACTGCCAGTACAATTTCACGCAAAAAAAAAAAAACTGCTGCTGCTAGTTTCATCAAAGTTTCTATCTTGGCGCTATGGTAGGTACCACCCCACTGATAAGGTCACTACCTGAGACATCTCCAGATACATAGGGAGTCTTTATAGCAGAAGATGAAGATGAACTGACCAATTTTCCAGAATCACTACTCGGTGTTACAGATTCAGCTCTTTTGGTATCAGACTCAGGCATCATAGACCATATGTTTTCGAGTTCTCGAACCACTTCTGCCATTCTAGGCCGTGCATCTGGCTCATCTTGGCAACACTTTAAGGATAGAGCCAAGAATTTCTCAATGCACTCTGAAGAGTAAGACCCCATGCGTCCATCAATAACAGAGAATACCGCGCCAGATTGGTATGCCATATTAACCTGGAAAGGGATAAGATAGTGCGTCACTGATCCTCAAAAAGAAATTTATTGACCCCAGCTTGGAACAATCACAATTAATAAAAGAGAAACCAGGTCCAATGTCGGGAAATACCTCTCTAACAATATTTTTGCCATGCGATATTGGTTGCATCCCAGTCAGTATTTCTAGAAATACAACACCAAGGCTGTAAACATCACTCTTGTCAGTCAACTTACGAGTTAAGAAGTACTCTGGATCAAGGTAACCCTGCAAATTAAAATAGTGAATTGAGTTAATAATCAATTTTGATAAAGTCGATCTTATCAGGATATATAACATAATTTAGAATCATTGATTGCATACTTTTTAAATTTTTGTTTTAGAAAACAAAGTGGATTAACTTATTTTGCGAGTTTATTTTGTCTAGCGTACTGCCTCTTAACTAGGAACTAGTAAATGACTAAATCAAAGGAAACTTTATGCAGGATTTATGGCAACATAAAAGGGCTAACTGCATACCAACCACCAACCTTGCGTAGTTATACATTTTTAATTTTAATTTACTCAATGGTTATTCCTTGTCCCCCCCCCCCCCCCGCCCCAATAAGAGATTGCTTCTGTGGACCTTTCAACCAACTTCATTTCCAGCCCCAAAAAAAAAAAAAAAAAAAGAAGTCAAATTTTACTTTAATGATCACATAGATAAGTATGTTTTCCTCGTGAAAATCCCTTCTGAAGCGGAAGCACAACGAAACTGCAAGATAACTGAAGAGGTGCTATTCTACTATGCCAGTACTAGAAGTATTGTTCTTCAATTTCTCTTTAAATTTTGTAGGATGTCTTGTCATTAAACAAAATTACCAAATTCATATGTAATACAGCATTTTAGCACACAATTGTAAGAATTAGAACAATCTTACCGGGGTCCCCTTTACCACTGTGGATACATGAGCTGGCACAACTCCTTCAATGTCTGGAACAGGGGCAAGCCGTGATAGTCCAAAGTCAGCAACTTTTGCTGTGAACCTTGAATCCAATAATATGTTGCTAGCCTTGACATCACGGTGGAATATTGGTGGGTCCGCTTCTGTATGTAGATACAGAATACCTTTAGCTGACCCTAGTGCAATCCTCATTCTCATAGCAAAACTCAGAGCTTCTTTTGAATGAGCTGTTGTAAAACATGTAATACACACTTGATAAGACAATATATAAAGGGAAAAAATTGGGAAAATGTAATGTGATATGAAAACAAAAGAAAATAAATTATCCCACAACCAGAAGCCTATAATGTTTTGGTTTCTCTGTTGGGACGCAGTTTAATGGGAGAAAAGATACAGGATACTGTACATCTCATGCCTAAGGTGTTCTTGATTTATGTTTGGGTAAATTATGTGCGAGTCTGTCCATGGTATTTATCATGTGCAGTTTTAGCTTTTGTTTCCTTTATGTGATTGCATCTCTTAGTTTTCTGTGATAACATGGTCAATATTAGATTGACAAAAAAATCTTGTCTGCCATGACAGGATGAAAGATGTGGAGAATTATAATGATTCGAGCTAAGATGATCTATGTGTCTAAAACTTTGGGCTTGCAGGACAAAGGGGTCTTGGTAAGTTTGGACTAAAGCAACGCAGCCCATGTCCACCTGTAGTTTTAAAATTGAATTACGCGGTGAGATTATATACAAAAGCATTCCCTATTGAGGAATAAAATGTATAGTTCTATTTGTGCTTGATATTGGAAACAGATAGGTCAACGAAACGTTATAACACTGCTGGAATGCCTGGCAACTTTTGTTTCTTAGCATATTAGCAAAGTTATCAGTAAAATGCAATAGAAGTGGGGTTGCAGATGCAGATAGTAACAACAAGAGATGTACCAGAAAGGTGATCTCTAAGTGTGCCATTTGACATAAACTCATAAACCAGCATCTGCAAGCATAAAGCAAGAACCAGATGAAAATAGAAGAAACTGGACAGTGTGAACAAGAAAATTCATGAGTAACAAAAAGGACAGAACAAGTAGTTTTCATCTAACTTCCTTGATGAAGATTATTATGAAAGCCCATGCCTTATTCAATTGATGTGACCCTTGTTTCAATCAACAAAATCAGAAGACTGATTTAAAACTTTCTGTGATTTGCACTTTTTTATATATGCAGTTATTCAAGGCAAGCTGTCTATATCCTTACATCCTCGTTTTAATAATTTTTTATTATAATTCTCCTATTAATATACAATTTTCTGTAGGAATCATATCTTCATGGAGTCGACATGCGATGGTCAAGATAATGGCATGACATAAAGTAAGATAACAGCGAAATGTACTAAAATAGAATTGATTGAGTATACTTCAAAAAAAAAAAAAAAAAGACTCCATTGAGTATAAATTTTCAAATCAGAACCACAAGTACCTGTTCACCTTCTTCATCACAGTATCCAACCAAGGACACAAGGTTACGATGATGTAACCTGGATAATAATTGTATTTCTGTCAGGAACTCCCTCTCACCTTGCAGGGATCCTTCCTGTGCCCGCTTTATGGCAACCACAGTGCCATCAACAAGAATCCCTTTATAAACCTTCCCATAACCCCCTTGGCCAACTTGTGCTGTGTCGCTAAAATTTTCTGTAGCCTGTGCCATTTCTTCGTATGTAAAGGCCCTCACACCATCGATTTTTATGGAAATCTTTGAAGCTGCAAATGGACGCAGGAGGCCTACGTTAAAAGGTTTATAATCACATGATGGAATGATTCAATATTTGGCTGATAGATATCCCGAAGGGGAATATGTGTGTTATGAGTTGTAAAGAGAAGACCTCTCATCGTCTGAATGTACTGTACAGCAGAACCAATCTTACTAATTTGAGTTTAAAAAAATGAAAATAACAAAAATAAACTTTGATTTTAAAAGACAAGCTGTAATGATCTGTTTGAGGGTGGGAGAATTCATAGGGAAAAAGTCATAAAGTGAAGAAAATAGGAGAGGTCACGAAAACTAAAGAATGATGTTAATCCTTAAAGCCAATCACTATCCAACACTACTCAATCATATGCCGAGGACCTTCCTTTTATTTCATTAATTTCTCTCTCATTTAGAATTTTCTTTGACATCAAATTGACATAGATGAGTGAAAGAACATGCTTCAGTGGAAATGAAAGCTTAAAGTACATCTTCCAATTCTCACAAGAGTAAATTTATTATGGCAAGAACGTTCTTGAGAACCTCAAATGGAAGTGTGCAACAACATCAATACTTCTCATTATGACCGAGCACTTTAGACAAGCCAAAAAGACAAACAATGATACACCAGCTTATATCTGATAAGATACTCACTTTGATGTCGTTTTGATATTGAATGCTGGCGTCTCGTGAGCACTCCGAATATAACAAGACTGACAATTCCAGATAATATAACAGCACAGGCAACTGTCCCTATTATAATGCCAACCAGTGCACCCTTGCTTATCCCTGAACTTTTTTTGGAGGTCTCTATCACTGTCAAAATAGTGAGATTAAGTATGAGAACATCCTCATAACACTTTGCAGCTATCATATTCCATATATGGTTATGTATCAATCACATGCTTCAGCTTCTTTATAATAAAAGTCACATGAACTTCCGCTTTCAATTAGGCTACTATTTAAAGTTATACTTGACAGAAATGCCAACAATATCATCTTTATCATGACTTTACAGAGAGGATTCCAGATCAATTATGCAGTTCATTGTGATATCTTATTCAGCAAATTTGTCACCTCATCCATGCTCAACTTAAAACTTCTAAAACATGCTTCAAGGAGACGTCGTCTCATCTAGAATATCACAGATAAAATTTGAAAGCGAAAAACTGAAGTTCAGGGCAGCTTCAGAAAAACCATGTACCAATCAGCGAGGGAGCGAGACAAAGAATTCAACCAATTTCACAAGCTATGACATGAAATACATGCATATTACCAGAACAGAGAAACAACACTAGCTCATGTTGTGCGGAAAAATGAACAAAAAATCAATAGATATGAAACATGAATTTACGATATTGTACTAGCTAAAGAAAGCATTAATTCAAAGTTCCAGCAAACACTCGTGCAGGTGAGGGTACATTTTTTTTTTTTTTTTACTTACAATCCTTATAAGGATCCAGGAGATGGAAGCCGAGTAGTTCATAAGGCCCAAATATATCGTTGTCAGGAACTGACCATGCTGTGAACATGCCTCTTAGCCTTAGAACCTCGCTTCTGTTGAAAATATGTGAGCTTTGGTTCTGAGCATCATAGACAGGATAGAGCTTCAAGAGCATTCTCAGTCGTGGCCCTTCTTCCCAAAAATACGTATCAATGTATAGTTGATAGATGAACAAGTTAAGTCCATTTGTCAGATAGTTCTCAAATAGATCTATATAAGAAGGAAAAGCCGAAATTCCCGGACTTTTCAGCCGATAATCAACAATCAAAGGGGCTGCACAGAAACACTTCACTGGAGATGATGGAGAATATTCAAAAGGAGGGGGACATGCTTGACTAAAACAGCTACCATTGAAGTATGGTGAAACCATGGTATCAGTGTTATTGGCTTCTAACCCACAGAACTGAGCTAGGCTCTCATTTGAACATAGAGGATTTCCCTCAAGCCTGAAAATAGCGTTTTGTTTTTCAAATAGAAATGTCACAATCTACTTGAAAATGACGGAGCGTATGGTAGATCTAACAAAAAAGGAGAATATTCTGAACTTTTGAAAAGGACAGTAATCTCTTCATAAAACATGCACATAACTAATGAAACATAAAACTTTAAGAAAGGAGCCATGTCTAATCCATGTTGAACACTTGTATTTGCCAGTCATGTGTGGTGCCATGCCAATGTCTCTGGCTCTTAATTCATAACCATAGTGGAGGGAGATGAAATTTCCAATTCACTGATTTTAGTATATATTAAAAGTAAAGTTTACAAAGGTACCAGAGTGAGACGTTTCGAGGAAGGCTAGTACTGCCTGATATGCTTGTAAAACTATTATGTTGAAATTCCCTGCAATATCCAGGATCACAAATTCATGTCAGCAAATCAAGAGCTAAAAATACGGGTGCATCTTTGCAGAAGGAGATGCAAATTAGATTAACCCAAAAGCATGCAAAAGATGCCTCATAAAAAATAAGTATCTGTCTGCATGCGCACACTCATTCTACATGTTAAATCAAAGGCTTCTCACCTCCCTGGATGCACACAAACACAAAGCTCCCCAAAAACAAATTCATGCCATGAAAACTTATGTTGTCAATTAAAATCTTACATGACAAAACTCTCCGTTGCATTTAAAGTCTTGCTCTGCCAAATGGAAGAAGGAATACTTCCATTCAAAGAATTGTTTGCAATTGACCTGCCATGTGTTATGAAATGTGAAAAACTGTCATTTCCTCGCCCACATAATCAATGAAAAAGCAATATCAAGTACAACTCTTGAATAAGTAATCCAACAAGATATTTTATATGCAAGATCAGGTCAGAAATAGTAAATTGCATTTCACTGAAAGGATACGAACATAAGTCAACTTACAATCTCTGAAGAAGAGGAAGACGAGAAAAATAGGGTGGAATGGCTCCAGCAAGCTTGTTGTTTGATAAATCGCTGCATGAATCCTAAAGGTCAAATACTACAGGAAATTTCAATTACTTGTAGACTAACAGAACTTATCTTCAAAGGAGAAATCAACATTTGAAATCCAAATAATCAAATGCAAAAATAATAAATGAAAAACTAGTTGGGCGATGTGTTCTTACATTGTTGTAATATTGTCAGAAAGCTTATTGGGAGGAATCGATCCAGTCAACTCATTGGAACTTAGGTCACTAGAATATGCAAACAATAGTCAGAAAAAACAATCTAATACAGTATTAGAGTTTCCATTAAACATGTAGGTCTAATTCTAAAATTGTGTTAGATGAAGTTCCATCTTGAAATATAGATCTATATAAATCATCATCATGAAATGGCTTAATGAAAAATGAGAAAACTGAACTTACAGATAACCAAGTTGCGGTATACTACTTAAATCAGGAACGGATCCTTGCAAGCTGCAATTCCTAAGGCTCCTGATAAAACCAACAATATAGGTAATGAATCTTGTCGGTTTGATACTTAGTGGCTAATTCAATTGTGATTTAGTGGGATAGATAGAGGCCATTATTTATAATTTTTCAGTTTAGTTCAAATATTATATACGTGGGTGAAATCTTGCCAATAAAATTAGAGTTCCCGTTCCAACAAACATTTGACAAGATAAAAATGCACTTACAATTTCAACAATTTTGACATGTTGGCATAAGACTCTGGAATGGTTTTCCCACTGAAGTTATTGTTATCAAGTTGACTGCAAGAACAAGAAGATCCAAGAAACTATTGACAAATGTAACTATTCAGTGAGGAATATTACAAACAGTTATTAATGTACAAGGAATAAGCATCCAGGAAATATTAACTAGATTGCTGCATCAGAAGCTGTGTATCTACTACCCACACATTCCATAAAGAAGAAGAATCCATACATTATAGTTATGTTGGGCAACTTGGAGAGCTCAGGAGGAAGATATCCTGATAAATTGTTATTGTCAAGAAGACTGCAGATCCAGAGATAAATAACAAGATGTAAGCGCAGCCAACATGGATTAAACTTAAGATAAATACATATATTAATGGTATCAATTATGTATTTGATATCCAATTACCAACTTACAGGTGAAAACAAAGAAATTGTCCTTTTCATCAAAAAAACTTACAGGTGAACAAGATATGGCAAGCGGGAGAGCTCTGGTGGGATTTGTCCACTGATTGAATTGTTGTTCATATGACTGCTCCATAGGAATGAAACGAAATACTTATTTTCTTTTCTCATTTTTCTCTTTTTGTGAAAATAGCAATGGCAGAAAAATAAATGAAAGTAAAACAAAGTGGACATTCTTGAACTTCTTCATAAAGATCTTACAAGTGCTTCGTCTTGTTCAGGTTTGCAAATGATGCAGGTAAAGGTCCTGATATTTTGTTCTGATCAATTTGTATTCTGTCTAAGTCTGGAAAATAACCAAGCTCTTCGGGCAGAGGACCTGTTATTTGGTTTCCATTCAAGAGTCTGCCAGAAAGTTCATAATATATCAGAAAGAAGGCAGATTTGATGTAATATTTCATGTCAAATATGACTGCCAATTATTAGTGGGAAGAAACATGATTCAAATGCTTGATATTCATCTGAGCAAGGTTATGTATACACAGAGGAGGAGCCCCAATCGTAATGGCTTAATACACAATAATACTCTAATCCCTATTATTGCTATCGCTACGAATGAGATTATGTAGCTACACAAGAAATGAAATAATATCTTTATGTACAAGTAGTAGAATTCTAAATTGGTGCTTTAACAAGTTTATTTATATGCTAATATATTTAAATGATTCAAAATTCAAAAAGATGAATGAAGAAATGAGCTATTTAACAATATAATCCAAAAGGAGAGGCCAATCTTACAAGAGCCTCAAAGTCTTGATATTGCCAATTTCCTTCGGGATGCTCCCACTTATGTTGTTCCACATAAAGCTCCTTCAAGAATTAAACAAGAAAGGCATATATCAGAGGATGAAGGAAATTGTAAACTGCAAAATGATGAAAATATTTGGGTCAATTATACCATATCCTCGAGCAAATAAGGCATCCAAGTATTGTGAAATTGGAAATTGATCACATACGTAAACAAGCACAAACATCAATGCAAATATTCTCTTACAATATTTTCAGATAAGCCAATTGGCCAGTCTCTGGTGCCAAAGTTCCAGTTAAATTCATATTCAGTAGTTGCCTGCAGGCAATAAAAAAAAAAATTAGAGACAAAAGTAGAAGCAAAAACAAGGTTTTTAAACAAATGTGCGAAAAATGCAATGAATTATGAACCAAATACTCTTTTAAATCAAAGTACTCTCACATGAGATGTAAAGATTGAAATATCTCATTTTATGCTTGCTCTGCATTGGATAATAGCGATGCTAGAAATGAAAATTGATGAGCCCAATTGATTGTTCATCAAAGAGGCGATGATGTTTCAATTTTAGGTTATATGAATTAATCAATGTATGTTGCCAAATCATCTGAGAACTGTTCATTCCTTGACCACGATTCCCATCACAAGCCTATCTATTTTAAACTATTGACTAAGAAAGTTTTTGCCCCAGAACAACTATGGTAAGTTGATTTACATCTCAACAGAGAAGATAAATAAACATAAATAAAGGACGGTTAAAGTAATCAGAAGCAGAGGCATGATTGTATGGATCACAAAATAGCAGTAGAGTATAAGAAATAAAATCATACAATTCTCTAACGTGGAGATAACCATTAGCTGTCTTATTATAGCAGACAACCCCTCTCCAGTTAGATCTACATGGATCTCCACGATTCCAGTTTCCCAGATTTCCATTACGATCAACCAAACTTTGCTTGATACTTTTCAATGCGTCAACTGCGAATGAGTGCAAACGAAATAAGCATATCATCAATAAAAACAAAATTATACATTGCTTTTGATGCTGAATCCTTTGCCACTTATTATTGCCACCTAACAGCACCTATCGTTTTCCAGTAAAGTCTTACTGCAAAATGCTCATCCGAAACCACTAGCTCCATGTGTTCTTGAAATCCATACAGTGGCAACAGTGATAGTACGGACAGTGAAGAGAGCCGAACTAGACTCCTATGTCTTGGTTATGGAATGACAACTAAGACATCAAGTTTGAATTACAGTATTGGGATGTTGATATTATTGGACGACATGAGCATGACATCTGTGGGTTTTGCTGATAATTATATTTAATGATATCATAACTCATAATCATGGAGAGATACCAATTAATATATAGGTAAATTCAATTTTTAATGTATGAACCTTGTATAGAAGTGAGAGTAACCCAGGGTAGAAAAGCTACCGTTTCCAGAAAAGGATGCGAAGTGCAGAGCAAAGAGTACACAAAAAAAAAGAAAAGAAAAGAGACCTTCAATGGGGTCAGTGATAAAATCCTGCGCAGCAACCAGTAGCAAAAAGCAGAAGAACCACAGGCTGAAAACAACTTCATACTTCCAACTCTTTGGAAGAGGCATCCCAAACCAAGAAGGTAGAAAACACCAAACTTCTTAGATATCTCTCAAGAACCAAACAGGGCACTCTTCTTGTCCTAGTTACAACAAAACCATTAAGAAACACTTTATCCGTGAATCATTAAAAAAAAAAAAAAATAGCAATACCATGTAAGCAACAAAGTGAAAAGTTCATCAGCTATGAAACAAAGGCATACCCTTTTCAGCAAACAACACTAGGAACGAAATAAAGCAACTTAATCGTCCATTACGATACAACAAACACTATTTTGAACACAAAAAGAAACGTTGCTTGCAAGCAAGCAATATAGATGAAGCAAAAATAACAAAATGACCAGTTGGTAAAGTACCTGTAGAAGCAAGCGTCAGCATAGGAGACTAAAATCTGAAAGCTTGAGAGTGGTACATTTATGACCAGGTCGAGACAACGAATGCTGCAGAAATTGTCGATAGCAGTGACAATGATGCCCATCGTTTTCTCCATAAGTATCTATCTGCCCAAGAATATGATGGAAAATTAAATAATGGTAGAAAAATAGGACCGCTCTAATGTGGGGATGGCGATTTGACTTTCCGGGAGTGATGGCGGTTGGTTCCTGCATGAATAAGACAATCACGAACCAAAAATAATGCAACAGGGGAACAATGCCAACCACCTTGGGAGCGCGAAAATGAATGCCCGGCCTGGGCTTCGGCCACGTAAAAATTTTATTTTCTAAAAACACCCTAAAAAAGAGTAAGATTGAATAATATATTTAATAAAAGTGAAATTCAAACAAACTACTATAACTATTAATACTTTTTATAAATATTTGGCCAAAAAATATTTTTATAAATGAAATGATTTCATTCTTAAAAAAAATCTTTTATATACCAGAGGCAATAGATAAGTAATTCAAATTAAATAATAGATACTGTGTATTACTTAACATGAAAATGGAGATAATTTATTACATAATTACCAGTGAATATTTTAACCATGAGATTAAAGTTTTATTATAATATATCAAATGATAAATTATACTTTTAGTCCTTTAACTTTACGTAAGGTTTTTGGTCCCTTAATTTTAAAAAATATACTCTCAGTTCTTTAACCCTAAAATTATTAGTCTTAAATGATAATTTTTTATAGCAATTATGGTTGTTTTAAAAATTAAACTTAATGTTATAGCATTTAGTAATATTTTATGAACAATCAAGAGTTTAATATCATTATTTTTTGTTAACGGTTCTAGGACTAGAAGGCTAAAAGTTTGCTTTTTAAAGATAAGGGATCAGAATGAAGCCTTATGTAAAATCAAACGACCAAAAGAGTACTTTAGCCTAAATAAATAAGTAAATTTTCTAAATAATTTATAACTATGGTAAAAAAATAGAAAAATAATTAACAATCTAGGTGAAATCAATTAACCACATTACATATTAATTTTGTTAATCTCCACTAAATAAAAAAAGTAGATGCTATACCAAGGACTAAAGTATCCTATTTATCTACAATTACACATATACACCTTCTTAATGCGACGACTAAACACCGCTTTACATAATGCCAATATTTTTTTTTTAACAAACGCCAAATTATTAAAGAAACTAATCCAATGCAAATATTAATTGCATTTAACTTGGAAATTCAGATTAAGAAGAATAGCCATTTCTCTTTTGATCAAGAATTAGGAAGAATGATCAAATTAAAAATCTTCATTATTGTGATCCAACTCTTGGGCATATGAAATGGTCTAAAAGTGTAATAAAGACGAAACAATTAATCAACGGGTTAGGTGAGACTAATTCCGCAAAAAAACACAAATCAATATGAACACAAACCTTAATTCCATTGCTAATCTTAAGCAAATTAACCACCGACTAGTTTTGGTAAACAGAGTTATGATTTTGAAATAGAATAGTGGGAAAATTAAAATGAAGGAGCTGAATGAAATAAGCTTTGTGAGAGAGGATTTTAAAAATTATAATTATTTAAAGGGATCAAATATTGAAATATAAATTTAAAAATATGATTTTACAGCCACAAATTACAAATTCTAGCAACACAATTACTACTTTATCCCATTTATAAGACAGAGAAAAGTTTTTCTTGGTCATATTTATAAGTCACTTAATTTAATTTTTAACACAAATATACTATTTTGTTATTTATTTATTATAGTGTAGATCTTTATATTTTTAAAAAGAGTACATATTAAATAGGGATAAAGTTTAAAAGTTGTTATATTTTAAGAAAAAATTAATGCAGTTTAATATTTTTTTTGGTTTATATGAAACTACTATAAATAGTGAAACATCCTATAAATAAAACCAGAAGAGTACAAATCAAGTATTTAAATTTTAAATATAATTTTTTAGTTCGTAATTAAGATTCTTATTTATAATTGTATAAATCAATATTTACAAATAATTTTTCAGGAAAGATAAAAACCTAACTCTCATTAATATAAGAGACCATGTGCTCTTACTAATTACCTAATCCAACTAGTCAAATTGCACATTCTAATTTTGGACTTGGTCCTGAAATTTAAGTATTCTTCATTTTCAATACATATAAAAATAAAAATAATTCGTGTTGATTGGCAATTGCTACGGACCATAATGCCACTGAAAAGTCAACTTTTGAGTCGGAGTCAATGTCCATTAAAGTCAAATGCTTGAGGATTACAATACTATGTATTATTGTTGATGGATTTATTTATTTACTTATTTATTTTTTTGGGGAATACCACTCTTTGTCGCTACTTTGACCATATTTTATTTTTCATCTCTATAATTTATTTTCATGGTTTTCTATTTTTTTTTTGTTTGCTCCGTTTGAAATATTAATCATTTTATTTAGAAAAATACTAAAAAAAATACAAACGGGCTAATCTTGCTTAGATAGACTTAATGCTGTTACCCTAATTAGATCAATAAGAAAAAACATCTTAACCTTAAAAAAATTATAAAATTGTCTGATTAAAAATTTAGTTTGATTAAAAAATAAGGGAAGAAATCTCATTTCCTCAAAATGAAAACGTGCAACATTTCATATTAAAAATGTCACCTCATTTACCTAACAATATGACATTTCAACGCTTTTTTTTTTTTTAAATCAAATTCTTACTTAGTCAACAACTTAACGGCAAAAGATAGCATTTTGTTATATTCAGTTGGAAGTTTACCGTTCAAATAACATTAGTAGTGGATTTGTACCACAAATAATTTTAGTACAATAAATACAGCTAAAAAAAAATTTTAGACCGTCATCCATCTTAACCCACAAAAAATAAATTACAAATTGCTTAAAAGTTTGACCCGTATTTAAAATTCCTTGTCCTAGGATCACGACTTTACACCAAACATGGAAGAATTGTGCTCGCACGTGCTTCATCTTTAATGGGAAACGATTCCATTCTCATTTTAGTCATACTTCCCCCAATAAATTCGTATATACTTCTTTGATTATAGACAAAGAAATGAGTTTACTTTTAGTTTTAAATCAAAGATTTTAGTTAACTCTTTTTTTTCTTATGTTTATCATTTCTTTCAAGCTATTTATCCAATTTATAAACTCATCTATAATCTATTATTACATAAGGTATTTCGGAAAAATCACGCTATATTTGTTATAATTAAGTAATTTATTTAGTTTTTTAAATTTAGTTGAATTAGTTGAGTCTAATTTTTATTATTCTCTTATATAAATTTTTAATACATTATCTTTTTCATTTCATTTTTTATCCCAAAAGAAAACGGTTAAAATGAAACTCGATTATAAATATAATTAAGTTTGATGATGACTCATGAGACTTAATAAGTGTTTGGAAATGATAAATTATTTTTAAAAATTGATATATTATCTGATATTATTATCATCATCAGGTTAAATTTAAGGATTATGAAATTTTAAATGGAATATTTCTCTTAAAAGTATTTTCTACATTCAAGTAAACTTGAACATGAAGCCTTTTGTTTAAATAATTATGACTCCTTTTTTTTTTCTTTTCTTTTTTGGTAAACAACTCTTTCTATTATAACTAGTGTTCACATGAATTTGAATATGATACATAATATTTAAATAGTCATATTGTCGTCGTTCATTTGGCTTTAACCAACTCCAATTGATATATACATGTGTCTACGTATTAGTGGGCATATCGTTAGGGAGGGAGGACAATATGGGAGGTAAAAAAAAAATGGAGAGAAGATTAGATGAAATTATTAGACAAAACTTTGGCTAAAAGAAAAAAATTATTAGACGAAACCTTTAATTAAAATATGAACCGTATCCGTAATCATATTTTCTGGTGCCATTTAAGATTTCATGACTAAGGGTTAAAGTGTAAATTTGTGTAAGAAGTTTTTACTTAGGAGAGTTGGATATTCAGAAATTTTTTTAGATGCAAATCTACCTCAAAAATTTAAAATCATAGAAATTTATTTTAAACTTTTAGAGCGTATTTTCAGTTGAAAATATTTCTTAGTGCCCAAGGCTACCGAGAGCTCCAAGTATCTGAAAACTTTTTTAGGAACAAATTTATCTCGAGAGTTTAAAATTGTAGTAATATTATTCTGTACAGTAAAAAAACTAACATTAATTGTTAAAATAATAATATTGATTATTAATATTTTTAACGACAAGGATAGTATTACTATAATTTTAATATATTTATATATTAACCCATATATATTGGTTATGTTTTTTTTTTTGGTGAAATTGGTTATTCACTCAAATAAAATTGTATTCTAGAAGAGTGCTTATGCAAGCATGAAATCATTGTGAACTGGAAGAAAGAAGTAAAAAAATCTCAGGTCGATTAGTGCATGGAAGATATTCTTTTGGTAGGTTGAACAAGTTGGCGACTCATCCAATCAGATATGAAATCTTAAAAGCATTCATAACAATATTTAACATTTATTTGTCATTTCATTGACTTCTCAACGATTTAGCCCCCAAGATTAATCACCCTTATCCTTCTACTCCAACTCACTCTAATTAATACTGTCCCGAAAATTAGGCAATTACGGATAACCAAATGCTACCTGGAGTATTTAATATAAAAATTAATTGACTAATTTAAGTAAATTAAAAAAAATTAGTTGAGTTCTTTATTCGTAATAAATAGATATTATTATTTCTAAAATACTCTTGTTAATCAAGTGTCATTTGATAAAATATTTAACATATGCAATTACTATAAAAACTACCTTAACAAATAGATAAATATAAAAGATAAAATAAATTGAGGTCTTATATTTAGAATCAAATTGAAAGTAAACTAACTTTTATATTAAGAATTAGGGGTATTATATAAAATACTGCTCTAGTTGTATTTTATTTATAAGGTAGAGAGAAAATTTTTTTATATATAAATCACTTCATTAAAATTTTAAAATGAATGTAGTACCATTTTATCATTAATTTATTATAGTGTATATTGTTATTTTCTAAGAAAGTGTATATATTAATCGAGGATAAAATTAAAAAATTATTATATTTTAAGATAGAATTACTAAACTTTAAAGTTTTTCTTAATTCGTGTAAACTACGTTAAAAATGTCCTGTAAATAATATGTGGCGGTGAAATTTTTATATACTCCTCCGGTCCTAATTATAAAACCCAATTGACTTATTTGAGGAGATTAAGGAAGTAAGTTAAGTTGGTTATTTATAATAAATAAGTGTTGTTATTTCTAAAATATCCTTGCTAATTAAGTATATTGGCTAAAACTATCATTATTAGAAGGATTATCTTGGAAAAAAGTACATAAATATAAGAGAGAAAATGGATTGGGTCTTATAATTAGGACCAAATAAAAAGTCAAATTGGGTCTTATAATAAGGACCGGAGGAGTACATGAATAATGTATGTGTGAGGGTCCATGCATTTACCGCACACAGGCTGATGAACTTTTCCTCAAATAATAATGCAGTTTTTTTATTCCAGTACATATGGACATATTAATTATAAAAACAAATAATTAAAATATATTTATTTTGATTTTAGTTTTTATCAAAACGCTTAACTTGAATAATTACTTTTATAAAATTAAAAAAATTAAATAGAAGATATTTTGATTCAAAAATTCAACCAACATTTTAAAAATTTATATATTATTTTGAAAATGTATCATTTTAATAAAATTCAAAATAGTCTGTGTAATTTACCTTTTTATGTACTTATAATTACGATTATAAATGCTTTATTATATTGAAATATTTAACTTGCTTAACCAGAAATTAATATTTCAAGTATATGAGAAAAAATGAATTGGACCATAATATGTATTAAGAAGTGAATCATACATTACCAAGGAAAAAAAGTCAATCATATACTATGATATCACTTTTTTTTTTGGTGTAACTTAGAGTATCCCAACTCACTTTGGACTTGAAACTAAACTTTGTCAGGTTTGGAGTGTTAAAGTTCAAGTCCTCCCAATAGGTACGTTTTTTATTATTCGAATTTATATTCTCCTCTTTATGGGGTGAAACTGCTTATCATTTTAACCAACAACTTGTTGATATGATATGACTGTTTGATAACATAATTTTTGCATTTGCTTATTTTAAATGCCTATAAGTACTTTTATTTAAGTTGATACAAACCTCTTCTCTTATACTTGTCTTATATTTTGTAAATCAAAATTGAAAATCTATTTTTGAAGGCTCATACTATGATTCTAAGCAAACCCTAATTCAATCACACTTCAGTATTTGGGGGATTGGTCAAAATTTTTTTTGGAGGGGGAGTTTGGTTAAAAGTTTACTAAAAACATAAGTTTTTGAGCCTATGCAAGATATCTTCAACTATGTATAAATGTTTTTCATTTTGCATATAGTTGAAGATCAATTGCATACGTCAGAGGAAGAATTACATCCGCGGAAAATGAGCTTCATCTAGTGTTTTCAAGTAAATGCACAGTTAATTTTCTAATGAGGCACTTTTGATCAATTCTTCATTTTTTCTTCTTCTAATTTTGAAACAAAACACAACTAGTAAGCTGTCTTTTGGAGCGTGACCGCTCACCATTATAGGAGTGCCTTTGTATTCCCCCATGACCATGAGAGCTTCCTCTCTCCTTTTGCAAGAGTGTAGTCTTGCCAGTTATTGAGATATCTTCAAGAGTCAATCTTTAAATGGCAAACCTTTTTTCTTCCCTTTTAAATCACATGATATTCAGGAGCTACAATAAACATTAATTTGGACTGATCTAATTTTATATTTCAGATTCTGTCCTTGAAAAGTAAATTCACAATTTTCAGGGAATCATTCAGCAATGAGTCACACTACATTAGACTTCGATTAATCTAATTTTATAGTATTTCAGATTATGTCCTTGAAAAGAAAATTCACAAATTTTCAGGGAATCATTTAGTAATGGGTCACCTAATATTCATGAACTACATTAGACTCCGATTCATCTAATTTTATATTTTAGATTGTGTCCTTGAAAAGAAAATTCTCAATTTTCAAGGAATCATGTAGTAATGCAAATGCTTCAATGAAAAACTTTTAATCAAGCAAATTATACAGTTTTTCCCCTTTTCAAATGGCATAATAACGAGAATATAGCTTTGTAAAAAGCAACTCGAACAGATTTCATTGTGCAAGCACCTCAAACAGAGTTCATTGTGCAAGTACTTATTAGGTTGAACTTCTGAAAAACACAACTCAACAGGAAGTGTCTTAGCATACAAAATCCAAATGCCACCATATAGATAATCATTTTACACAACAATGTGCTTCAAAAGAATGTACAGAAAGAACTAGAGATAACATGGTATGAGATGTCTATGTTGAATCCACTGGATCACAGAATTCTAAGATTACATACATTGCTGCCGCTGCTGCTAGTTTCACCAGGTTCTATCTCGGCGGGATGGTCGGTACCACCCCGCTGATAAGGTCACTACCTGACATGTCTGATGATACATAGGAAGCCCTTATAGCAGAAGATGAAGATGAACTGAACATTGTTCCAGAATCATTACCAGGGGTTACAGATTCAGCTCTCCTAGTATCAAGCTCAGCTCTCCTAGTATCAGCCTCAGGCATCATAGACCATATGTTTTCGAGCTCTCGGACCACTTCTGACATTTTAGGCCGTGCATCTGGTTCATCTTGGCAACACAGTAAGGACAGATCCAAAAATTTCTCAATGCACTCTGGAGAACAAGATCCCATGCGTCCATCAACGACAGAGAATGTCATACCAGATTGGTATGCAACATTAACCTGAAAAAGATAAGGTAGAGTCAAATGATCCCCAAACAAAACACAAGGGGAACTTTCTATTCCAATAAGAAAAAGTGTCATTCCTTAAGGCTGCAAACAAATAATTCTATTCCAATGATGACAAGTGCCAAGGTTCAATTTGAAAGACTATACTTATGAACAATGTATGAAGGTTAAACATAGAATGAAATAGGGTGAAAAATCAAAAGTTTCAATTCTATATTTTATTTTATCAGAAAAAAGTACACCAAAATTATTGAGCCCCTTGAACAATCACAATTGATAGAAAGAGAAACCGAGTCCAACGTCAGGAAATACCTCTCTAACAATATTTTTGCCATGCGAGATTGGTTGCATCCCTGTCAGCAGCTCCAGAAATACAACACCAAGACTGTAAACATCACTCTTGTCAGTCAGTTTATGAGTTAAGAAGTACTCTGGATCAAGGTAACCCTGCAAATTAAACAATGAATACAGTTAATCATTAACTCAATAAAATCAATCTTATCAGCATATAGAACATAATTTTGAAGCGTTGATTGCATGCTTTTCAAGTCAACCATTTCAGCCTAATGAAAACAATAAAGATAAAGTTAAACTATACAACAAAAAAAGGAGATAAACCAGAAAGGAAATAAAAAGATTAAGGCACAAAATTGATCACAAAAGGTAAGATCTGCAACAACCAGATCTGGACCTCCAAGCTTGGTAAGATCCTACCAAGTCTCCAACAATTAATTAGTTGCATTTCATTTTTTCAAATTAATGCATCATGAGGGAGCAAGCAAAAAAGATTTATCCGAAATCAATCATAACCAACTATATCCGAATACAACATATTAGCATTCAATTGTAAGTTGTAACAACCTGAAATCAATCATAACACTCTTACCGGGGTCCCCTTTACCACTGTAGATACATGAGCTGGCACAGCTCCTTCAATGTCTGGAACAGGGGCCAGCTTTGATAGTCCAAAATCAGCAACTTTTGCTGTGAACTTTGAATCTAATAATATGTTGCTAGCTTTGACATCTCGGTGGAATATAGGCGGGTCAGCTTCCGCATGTAGGTACAGAATGCCTTTAGCTGACCCTAGTGCAATCCTCATTCTCATAGCAAAACTCAGAGGTTCTTGTGAACGAGCTGTCGTGAAATATGTATTACACACTTAGTAAGACAACATATAAAGGAAAAAATCGGGAGAATGAAATGAGATATGAAGACAAAAGAAGATTAATTTTGATGAAACCAGGAGCTCAGTTTATGATAACTGTAATATTGCTTAGCAGTTGAAAAAAATCTTGGATATTGTAAATTTCCTGCTTAAGGTATTCTTGATTTATGTTTGGCTATGATCTGTGTTGTTCTGTCCCTGGTATTTATCACATGCAGTTATAGCTTTTGTTTCATCCATTTTTATATCAGTTCATTCATTCAGCTCTTTATCTTTTATTTTATTTCCGCTATTACCTCCTATTATGATCCGTTAAATTTATTTTTGAAAGATAATTATGATCAAGGGAGAAAACTTGAGCCCAGGGCCCTTGAATGGATGTTCATCAGAAATTCTACCATGTAAAAGGTTATAAATGTTATTCACCGCCAGAAGTTTCAATTGAATTAGGTCCATTAGCAGTGGAAAAGTGGAGAATTGGATTATTGACACTCTTTAAAGAGCTTAATCTTAATTTTGGTCAAAAGGTGCTTAAATTTAGCGTTGATGGGCCAATGAAAGTGATCGGTGATAACAGTCACTGTTAGAATAACAAAATATCTTCTCTGCCATGAGGAATGAAAGATATGGAGAATTATAATGATGCTGGCTTACGTGATCAGGGTTATGTGTCTACCAATTCGGGGTTACAGAACAAAGGGGCCTTAATAAGGTTCGACTGAACGGATGCAGCCATGTACACCGTAGTTTTAAAATATGAATTACATGCTGAGACAATATCCAAAAGAAAGGAATAAAATATCCAATTCTATTTGTGCTTCATATTGGAAACCGATAGATCAAGGTAAGGTTATAACACCACTATAATGTCTAGCAACTGTTGTTTCTTAGCAAATTAGCAAGGCTATCAGTAAAAATGCAACAGACAGCAGATAGTAAGAACAGAAAGATGTACCAGAAAGGTGATCCCTAAGTGTCCCATTTGACATAAATTCATAAACCAGCATCTGCAAGCATAAAGCAAACCCAGATGAAAAGAGAAGAAACTGGCTGTGTGACCAAAAAAAATGCATGAGAAACATTAAGGATAGATCAACAAGTAGCTTTCATCTTACTTCCTTGATGAAGATTATCACGAAAGCTCAAATCTTATTCAATCAAATGACCCATGTTTCAATCACCAAAATCAAAAACTTTATAGGGAAAATTTTGATTAAGGACCGCAGATGGGAATTAATTTCAAATAGCCCTCAAAAAATTTTGAAATATCATTGCAGGACCAAAGAACCAATTGAAATTAAAATTAGGAGTAAGATTACAATAATACCCCTTATTTTTATTTTTTTTTAAAATAAATATTAATGGTCATCGGAGTTTTGGCCACCAGTGCTCAGGTAGCCACTGCCAGAGGTTGGAGCTCCATTGAAAGGAATTTTTTTTTAAATAAGGTTTTTTTAAAATAAGGTGGCCAAGGAAAAGTTTGAACCCATGACCTCTTGGCACACCAAAAATGATGTGACCACCAAGCCAAGCAAACCATTTAATCATATGATGCAAATAAAAATATACATAACAAAGCAAACGCAAGTGTCCAAGTGCAAGTGAACAAGTGAAATTCAACAATTTACAAGTAAAATTCAGCAATTTATAACAAAAATTTGACAATTGACAAATAACAAAATGAAATTCATAACCCCAAATGCAAGTATTTAAGTGTAAATAAGTAAGTAAAATTTGAAGATTTATAACAAAAGTTTATAGATTTACAACCCAAACTCGGCTATTGATCACAAGAAACACAAGAGAATTCACACCCAAAATGTAAGTGTTTGAGTGTGAATGAACAAGTGAAATTTAACGATTTACAACAATAATTAAAATATTTACAACTCAAATTCAATGATTTATAAGAAACATGAATTCATATATTTAAAGTTGTGAATTATCTTATTAGTTTTGTAATGTTTATATTTCTTATAAATCATTGAATTTAGGCTGTAAATAGCTGAATTTCACTTGTTCATTTACACTCAAACACTTATATTTTGGGTTGTGAATTCTCTTATATTTCTTGTGATTAATAGCCGAATTTGGGTTGTAAATCTATAAACTTTTGTTGTAAATTATCGAATTTCACTTGCTCATTTACACTTAAACACTTGCATTTGGGGTTGTGAATTCCATTTTGTTATTTGTAAATTATCAAATTTTTGTTGTAAATTGCTGAATTTTATTTGTTCATTTACACTTGGACACTTATGTTTGCATTGTTATATATATATTTATTTGCATTATATAATTAAATGGTTTGCTTGGCTTGATGGTCACATTATTTTTAGTGTGCCAAAGGGTCATGGGTTCAAACCTTCTCTTGATCACCTTTTTTTTTAAAAAAAAAAAACTTTTGGCCATCAGAGTTACAGTAGCGGCTAGCGGAGTTCCAACCTTTGGCGGTGGCCACCTGAGCACCGATGGCCGAAACTCCCATGACCATTAATATGTATTTTTTTAAAAAATAAAAATTAGGGGAATTATTGCAATCTTACTCCTAATTTTAATTTCAATTTGGTTCTTTGGTCCTGCAGTGATATTTCAGAATTTTTTGAGGACTGTTTGAAATTAATTCCCATCTACGGTCCTTAATCGAAAATTTCCCAACTTTATATGCAATTTTTTGGGGGAATCTTCATAGTCAGCATGTGATGGCCAAGCTAATGGTATGACATAATGGACCCAAGATAACATTAAAATGTACTAAAATAAAATTTAATGAGTATAGTTCAAGAAACAAAAATTCTAATGAGCATAAATTTTCAAAATCGAAACCAGAAGTACCTGTTCGCCTTCTTCATCACAGTATCCAATCAAGGACACAAGGTTACGATGGTGTAACCGGGATAGTAATTGTATTTCTGTTAGGAACTCCCTCTCACCTTGCAGGGATCCCTCCTGTGCCCGCTTTATGGCAACCACAGTGCCATCAACAAGAATACCATTGTAAACCTTCCCATAACCCCCTTGGCCAATTTTTGCTGTGTTACTAAAATTGTCTGTGGCCTGTGCCATTTCTCCATATGTAAAGGCCCTCACACCATCAATCTTTATGGAAGCCTTTGAAGCTGCAAATAAAGGTAGGAGGCCAATGTTAAAAGGCTTCTAATCACAAGATGGAACAAGTCAATATCTGACTAATAGATATCCCAAAGAGGAATATGCAAGTGTTATGAGTCGTGAAGAGAAGTCAGATTTATCATCTTTTTTTTTTTTTTTTTTGGGAAAAAAAAAAAACAGATTTATCATCTTCTGAATGTACATACAGTAGAATTAACATTAAAAATTCTCAATTGAACAAAATACGAAAATAATCACAATAAATTTTTATTTTAAATGCTAAGCTGTCATGATCTCTTCAACATTGTATGGAATAAATTTACCAGGAAAAGGATATAAAGCGAACAAAATAGGAGAGGTCATAAAAAACAAAGAAAGCCAATGAAATATCTAAGACAACCCAATAATATGCCAATATGTTAATTATATAGCAGACTTTGGTGGACCTTCTATTCTCTTTCATAATTTTCTCTCCCATAAAAACTATTCTTTAACATCACATTGACATAAATGAGCGGAAGAACAGGCTTCAGTGGAAATGGAAGCACAAAATGCCTCTGGCAATTCTCACAATAATTATCACGGAAGCATTTTTGAGAACCTCAAATCCTTACCAACAAGAATGACCCCAAAGAACAATGCAAAAACATCAAGGCTACTCTAAATGATGGTGAAAGATGATTATATTTCCAATATGTTTTTTTTTTTGTTACACTATTTCCAGTCTGTTTTAATTCAAATAGGTGCAACAACATCAGGACTTCTCATTGTGACCAAACACTTTAGACAAGTCAAAAAAAAAAAAAAAAAAAAGACAGAATAGCTTATTTCTGATAAGATACTCACTCTGATGTCGTCTTGATGTTGTACGCCGGCCTCTCATGACCATTCTGGATATAAAAAGACTGACAATTGCCGATAATGTAAGGGCAAAGGCAATTGCCCCTAATATTATGCCAACCAGTGCACCCCTGCTTATCCCTGAACTTCCTTCAGAGGTTTCTATCACTGTCAAGATAGTAAGATTAGGAATGAGAACATCCCCACAACACTTTGCAAGTTAGAACCATCATATTCCGTATGTGGATAACACATCACATGCTACATGCTACATAGCTTATTCATAAGAAAGTTCACATGAACTTCAATTGTCAACTGGGCTTCTGCTTAAAGCTACGCTTTACAGCTATAAAAACAATACCATTTTTCAGAAAAATATTAATTCAAAGTTCCACCAAAAACTCAGCAAAGTGAAAGTAGATTTTTTTCAAGACTTACAATCCCTGTAAGGATCCAGAGATGGAAGCCAAGTAGTTCATACGGGCCGAATACATCGTGGTTAGGAATTCCCCATCCTGTGAACATGCTTCTTAGCCTTAGAACCTCACTTCTATTGAAAACATGTGAGCTTTGGTTCTGAACATCATATACAGGATAAAGCTTCAAGAACATTCTCAGTCGTCTCCTATTTTCCCAAAAATATGCATCGATGTATAGTTGATTCATGAATAACTCGAGTTCAGTTGCCATATAGTTCTCAAATAAATCTACATAAGAAGGAAAAGCTGAAATTCCCGGACTTTTCAGCCGATAATCAACAATCAAAGGGGCTGCACAATAACACTCTTCTGGAGATGATGGAGAAGGTTCATAAGGTGGGGGGCATGCCCTATTACTACAGCTACCATTGAAGTATGTCGAAACCTTCGTATCTGTATCATTGGCTTTTAGTCCACAGAACTCAGCTAGGCTAGCATTTGAACATAGAGGATTTCCCTCAAGCCTGAAAACAGATTTTTCCCCCAAATGGCAATGTCACAATCTATCAAAAATGATGGAATGCATGCTAAATCCAATAAGAAAAGAGCATATTTTGAACTTTAGAAAGGACAGACATCTCTTCATAAAACATGCATAATTTATGAAACATCAACACTTCAAGAAAGCAGCCATGTCCAATCTATGTTGGACACTTTCATTTGTCACAATCATGTCTGGTGCCCTGCCAGCGTCTCTGCTTCTTAATTCATAACCACAGGGGCAGATGAAATTTCCAATTACTTGACATTAGCATAAATTGAAAAAATAAGTTCACAGAGATACCAGAGTGAGACATTTGGAGGGAGGTTAATACTGCCCGATATGCTTGTAAAATTATTATATGGAAATTCCCTGCAATATCCAGTATCACAAATTCATGTCAACAAATAGAGTATAAAAGTCAGAGGCATATATGCAGAAGGAGATGCAAATTATATTAACCCAAAAGCACTCAAAAGTTGCCTCAGAAAAAATAAAGATGAGCCAACATGTTCACACTCATTCTACAGTGTAAATCAAAAACTTCCCAACCTCCCTGAATGCAAGCTAACACAAGGTTCCCCAAAAACAAATTCAGGCCATGAAAAACTGTGAACTTGCCAATTAAAATATTACATGATTAAAGTGTCCGTTGCATTTAAAGTCTTGTCCTGCCAGATGGCAGCAGGAATACTGCCATTCAAAGAATTGTTTCCAATGGACCTGCCACGGTTTATGGGATGTGAGAGAGAGTCATTTCCTTAGCCGAATAATGAGCATCAAATACTAGTCTTGAATAAATAATCTGACAAGATATTTCTGTGCAAGATAAGGTGAGAAATATTAAATTGCATTTCAATCAAAGGATAAGAACACAAGTCAACTTACAATCTCTGAAGAAGAGGGAGACGAGAAAAATAAGATGGAATAGCTCCAGTAAGCTTATTGTTTGATAAATCACTGCATGAATCCTCAAAGGTTAATTACCAAAAATGTAGGAAATTTCTGTTGTTTGTAGACTTTTAGAACTTAACGTTAAAGGATAAATCAACATCCGGAATCCAAATAATCAAATGCAAAAATAATAAATGAAAAACCATTTGGAATGACACATTCTTACATTGTTGTGACATTGTCAGAAAGCTTATTGGCAGGAATCGATCCATTCAATTGATTGGAACTGAGGTCACTAGAATTTGCAAAGAAGGGTCAGCAAAAACAATCTAATACAGTATTAGAGTTTCTATTAAACATATAAGTTTAATTCTTAACCTGCGTCAGGTGAAGTTCCATCTTGTCATGTGGATTAATATAAATCATCATCATGAAAATATGTCGATGGAAAATGAGAAAGCTGAACTTACAGATAACTAATGTTCGGTGCCCGACTAAAGTCAGGAACTGGTCCTTGCAAGCTGCAATTCCTAAGGCTCCTAATAAAACCAATAATACATAAAGATAATCAATCTAGAAAAGCACTCTCGTGGCCAAGTTAAAGAATGATTTGATGATAAAACAAGTTGATTTTGAAACAGAGCATGAGGGTCCATAGAGGGAAAATTAGGCATCCTTGAGATAAATAAAGAAGAAAATAGACCAAAGAGGGGTTTCAGCTTTCATGAGTAAAAACTGGGGCTTAAAGTTCACTGTTTCTACGGAAGAGATCAAGTTAAAAGCACTGGGAGATGTAGTGAGAATCGAATTACTGAATTTTGGGTCTCTAGAAAGTCTGCAAGTTTAGGAATGTGGAATAAAGGGGTGACAGAGTAGATCCAAGGATAAGAAGCTAGGATTGTTTTAGAATAGATATCCAATGGCAATAATCTCTTCCAAGGAAGCCAAATTTAGGCACTTGTAAGATTGAAAAAACGGAACTAGGTTTGAAACAGAAGAAAAACTTAACCTAGGCATCACACAAGCCAGAAGACAGTGGATTTCTGGATAAAGTGATTAGATTGATCGTTCATCATACTGTTATAGTTGAATAAATTATTCAAAAAGGACTAATCAAAACTTGGTGACAACGTAGTCCGTAGCTTAAGCTCAAAATTAAATAACCATTCGCTAATAAATATGTATAAAATAAAAGCACAAAAATGAAAGAAACAAATCAAAGAAGTCTGGAAAATTAAAGCCCGTTCACAACACAACTAGTGTCTAATACCTACTTTTAATTCTGAGATTCTGACCAGAACAGAGTACATTATTATTTCCATAAATCTGATATGGTTTCCAGCGGCAATGTCTACTACTTTAATTTTGAGGCTTTGACCTTTTCCCCTTCACACTCTCTGTTTCAAGCTAACATTTGCATTTATGTGTAATTGTCATTTTTACATGTCGGAAATCATATAGGTTTCAGCATCGCAAATCAGTTTTCAAAATCAAATTTTGATGTAAAGGCTCTTACATCTGAGGTCTACTCATACTTGGGAATCTACTAACAGATGATGAGATGATGATGCACTTACAATTTCAACAATTTGGACATGTTGGCGTAAGACTCTGGAATGGTGTTTCCACTGAAATTATTGTTATCGAGTTGACTGCAAGAAAAGAAGATCCAATAACTACTTGACAAATGTAACCATCTAACAAGAAATATTATTAGAACAGTTAATAACGTAAAAGCAGCAAGCACCAAGAAAAGAAAAGATTAAAAAAACATTATTGGCTACCCCTCACTCAATTAATTATTCTTCTCGTGCCTAATATTTTATGAAATCCAAGCCACTAATGGCATTGCTAGCCAAACCACAGTTTTGCAGCTCTTACTTCTAACAGGGATACAGTTGAAACATATGACATTTGCATAACATTTGGCATTTGAACATAATAAAGTACTGTAACTAATTTGTAATGATATAAATTTATACAAAATCCCTGTAGACAGAAATCATAAGCAATAAAAAGCAAATTTCTATATTGACCCTTATGTCCCCTTGATATATGAATAATTCTTGTGATAGCATTAGTTTGATACCGTCACTAATTAACTCATTAGGGAGTCTATAAAAAGAGTTAGTCAATTCTGTCTCTGCCACTTTCAAACCACCCCTTGCGTCCAACTTTCTAGTCCTTCAATAACTTTTTCACGCTCTTAGAATTTTGTGTCATTGCATCAATCCGTCTCAAAAGTTGTACGGTCTACATTGTTTCCCTTATATTTCTACCTGTGTGACATGATAGAAGGAGTTTCACTCTTCAAGTTAGCTTGAGAGATTCACATCTAGATTCTCCTCTTTTATCAGAAGTATGCTAAATTTGATTTTCCTCATGAATGAACAATATTAGCGTTTTCTTAGCCCTTAACAACTTAAAACTCATTTTCGAAAACATGCAGGTCGCCAAGCTGCAGTGCATAACTCAACACCACCTTTAAATTTGCATTGCATCTTATTATCTACTATGGTTACTAAGCTCAGATGAAATGGCAATCATAGGATTAGCAGGACTCGTTGGAGTGTGAAAAACATTGATGCATTATCGTACCATGTTCAGCACTAGATCCCCTATGAAGGCAAACGAGTCATATTCAAAAAGAAAACATTTTCCATCATTTTCATGAGAAAATCAAACACTTAAAGTTTGCCTAGCAGTATTTTTTCTTGCGAAATTAGATGAATGGCAATTTAGATCATGAGAATTGTTGGAAGGAAAATTAAACAGCTAGTTGAAATAAAAGACAATTAAAAAAGAAGAAAACATATCACCAGCTTCATGAAGACCAAAAAAAAAAATTGATTTCTGCATAAAATGTTATCTGCATAGGCGCACAATCTATAAAGAAGAAGAATCCATACATTACAAGTATATTGGGCATATTGGAGAGCTCAGGAGGAAGAGATCCAGATAGGTTGTTGTTGTCAAGAAGACTGCAGGTCCAGAGATAAATAACAAGATATAAGCATCACAATCAAGGATTAAACCTAGATAAAGGCATATATTAATTATTTCAACTCTGTCTTTGATATCCAATTTCCAACTTACAGATGAATAAGATTTGGCAAGCGGGCGAGCTCTGGTGGGATTTGTCCACTAATTGAATTGTTGTTCATGTGACTGCTCCATAGGAATAAAATGAGATATTAATTTTCTTTTTCTTGAAAATAAAATAGGAAGAAAAATAAATGAATTCAGGTCAAGTGAAAAAGGCATTCTTCACGTGAACTTTCTTCATAAAGAACTCACAAATGCTTTGTCCCATTCAGGTTTGCAAATGAGGCAGGTAGAGGTCCTGATATTTGGTTTTCATCAATTTGAAATCTTCTCAATTTTGGAAAATAACCAAGCTCTTCCGGCAGAAGACCTGTTAATTGGTTACCATTCAAGAGCCTGCCAGAAGGTTCATTACATATGAGCAAGAAAGCAGATTTGACGTAGCACTTCATGTTAAAATATGATTATGCTGCTTATTATATTTTACTTTTTGCCAACAACTAGCAGTTTTTTTTTTTTTAATTTATTTATTTGGCTAATACCAACAACAATCAGTTGAATTCAATTTATCTGCAGGTAATGAAATTCTAAACTGGTACTTTAACAAGTTTATTTATGTGCTAATATATTTAAATGATTCAAAATTCATAAAGATGATTAAAGAACTGGGTTATATAGCAATACGATCCAAAAAGGGAGGCCCATCTTACAATAGATCCAACGTCTGGATATTGCCAATTTCCTTTGGGATAGTCCCCCTTATGTCGTTCCACATAAAGCTCCTTCAAGAATAAAAGGAAAGGCATATGTCAGAGGAAGAAGGAAATTATAAGCCGCCAAGTTATGAAAATATTTAGTTCAATTATACGTATTCTTGAGAGAATAAGGCATTCAAGAATTGTTGAAAGTGAAAAGTGATCACGTATGTGAATAGTATGAACATCAATGCGGATATTCTCTTACAATATTTTCAGAGAAGACAGGCGGCCAATATCTGGTGCCAAAAATCCAGAAAGATTCATATTCAGTAATTGCCTGAAGACAAGAAAAACAAAATTAGTGACAAAAGTAGAAGCAAAAAGACGGTGCTTAAACAAATGTGTCAGAAAAGCAATGAATTATGATCCAAATATTCTTGTAAATCAAAATTGTCTCACAAGAGATGTAGAGATTAAAATATGTCATTTTTTGCATGCTAAGCATTGGATAATAGTAACGCTAGAAGTGAATAAAGAGATGATGTCTCAAGTTCAGGATATCTGATTTCATAAATAAATCATCAGAGAACTGTGCGAGTCTTGACCAAAATTCCTATCTAATCTGCTGACTCTTCCTACAAAGTCTATAAACTGTTGACTAAGAAAGTTGTTGACAGAAATGAATGTGACTTTTCTTGCATCTCAGCGAAGAAGATAAATGAACATAAATAAATGAAGGATAAAAGTAATCAGAAGCATAGACTTGATTGTATGGATTTCACAAAATAGCAGTAGAATGTAAGAAATAAAATCATACAATTCTTGAACGTGGAGAAAGCCATCATCTAATGTTGTATTATAGCATACAACCCCTGTCCAGTTAGATCTACATGGATCTCCACGATCCCAGTTGCTCAGATTCCCATTAGGATCAACCAAACTTTCCTTGATGGTTTTCAATGCGTCAACTGCATATGAATGCACATGAAATCAACATATCATCAATAAAAACAACATTATACAATACAGTTGATGCTGATTCATTTGTCACTTATTAGCTAGCAGCACCGACTGTTTGTCACTTATTATCTATGCATTTTGCTGATAATTATATTTAGTAATACGATATCCCATGCTCATAGAAATATGAGTAATCTAGGGTAGAGAACTAGAAATCTATGATTTTCAGAAAGACAAGCTAACAATATGAGGGATGCAAAGTGCAAAGCAACGAATTGCATGAAGGAAAGAATTACATTCAATGGGATGAGTGATTGGATCCTGGGCAGCAACCAGTAGCAAAAGGCAGCAAAACCACAAGCTGAGAACAACTTCATGCTTCCAACCCTTTGAAAGAAACATCCCAACCCAAGAAGGAAGAAAACACCAACCTTCTTAGATAGCTATTACGAACCAAACAGGGCACTCCCCTTGTCCTAGTTTCGACAAAACCAGTAAGAAACACTTTACCCATGAATCATAACAAAGAACAGAAAGCACTAACATGAATGCATCTAAGTGAAAAGCCCAGCATCTGTGAGGCAAAAGCATACCCTTTTCACCAAACCGCACTTGGAACGAAATAAAATCGTGCAAAATCAGATGACACAAACAATGTGGAACACAAAAACAGTCGTCACTTGCAAATAAATAGCATAGGCGAAGCAAAATTAAGAAATGGTCAGATGGTGAAGTACCTAAAGAAGCAAGCATCAGCATGAATGGCTAAAGTAAGAAAGCTCGCGGGCGTCATATTTCTGACCAGGTCACTGCAACAAATGCTGCAAGAATTGATGGTGATGGTGACGACCATGGCCATCGTTTTCACTATAACTAGTTTTCTAATCAAGAATATGATAAAGTATGAGATTATGAGAGAAGAAAAAGGATCATTCTCATGGAGGATTGGCGATTTGACTTTCTGCGAGTGCTGACCTTGTTACCTGCATGAACAAGACAAATCACGAAAACAAAAAACAAGTGCAAGTAGGGAACAAAAAACAAAGGGAAAACCATGGAGGTACCTATACTTTCTCTCAAAATTTGCAGACATTTAAATCTTTTAGCAATATTAGCTATAGTCTTTACAAAAGATAGAAACAAAGATTGACATAAAGAATTTATAGACCAAAAAAAAAAAACATGAAAACAATGAATGCGAAGAAGTTGGATGAACGTTACAGGAGGTTTATAAGCAGACGGTATAGAAAAGATGAACAAAGTTGACATAAAGAATTTTGACGAAGATTATTTACAAGCAAGATAATAACTAACTCAAGTTGACGTGAATTCGTTCCTTAAGCAAATACATAACAAGTTAAATTCTCAAACTCTTGTGTATAAAGTAAACATGGTTAAAAAGTACTGCCTCCAATCCTTAACACCTTAACAGCTGGATAACTAATTTGCTAATGACTTTAAAAAAATAGTTAAGTTACTTATTTGTAACAATTGGTTTTTTTTTAGATACTCATGTCAATTATGTGCATTGGAAATACCTTTGATGAAAACCCTTGACATATGCAATTACCTTAAAAATTACTGAGAAGCAAAATTGAAAAATATGAGAGACAAAGTTGATTAAGATTTTGTATTTATAATCAAATTAAATTTATAACTAGCTCTTATCTTAAAGATTAGAGGTAGTATCTCTTATTTGCTTATTTAATTCCCCTCTTAAAAGAAGATACTCTGTTCTAAAAAGAAAAAACAAGTTAGGTAAACCTATAATTATGTTACTCATTATAATCTTAATATAAGAGATGTTTAATTAATTTGAATAAATTGAAAAACCCAAGGAAATTATTTAATTTTAACATATCCTTAGATAACTTTCACAGTCTATCAGGTAGAAGATAAATGAAGAAGAGAGAAGAAAAAATTTTAATAAATTCGATTCAAAAAGATTTGGAGAAGTAGACTTTTAAAATTTTAATTAAAAAAGTTAGATAAAATAATTAAAAAAATTAATTAAAAGATTCTAACCCCATTTCTATAATTTTTCTAAATAAGACTCATTAAAATTTTTCCTACCCTTCATTTCCTTCATACCAAATAGTTGGTAAATTATATTTCAATTTATAATTTAGATCAATTAATTTAAAAATTAATAAATATGAGAAATAAAATGAATTATATTTTTATCTTTATAACCAAAATTAATTTTTTTAACTAACTGTTATATCTAGAGAATTGTAATTATTAATCTGAATAGCAAATCAATGAACTAGTTAGTTGAGACTAATTGCGAAAGATAATCATTGTGAACTCAATTTTGGTAAGGTTTTTGAGAAAATACCACAAAAGACTTTTAAAAAGTATAAAAGACAAATTGGAATATTAAATTTGCATAATATCATATTAGCGTTGGTGGACTAATTCGGATATTAAAATGTGGTTAAAAGACACTACTGCTTCTAAGTTATGTAGGAAAGATAATATATTGCAGATAGATGAATCAATTTTTATTAATAGTTTATTCATTTTAGGTAATACCTAAAAAATTATCATAATCCATTTTTAAATTTTAGAAGTTCAATTTTACTCAAATATGAGCTGCCAACAAAAATTGTCATTAAGGAATCAATTTTTGTTAATAGGTTATTCATTTTAGGCAATATCTGAAAAATTATTGCCATTCACTTTCATGATTTAAAACTTTAATTTTACCCAAATGTAAACTGTCAATGAAGTTGTTATTAATGAATTAATTTTTGTTAATAACTTATTTGTTTAAGGCAATATTTGAAGAATTATTGTTATCCACTTTTAAGTTTTAGGACTTCAATTTTATCTTATTGTGAATTATCAATAAAAGTTGTTACTGAAGAATAATTTTTTGTTAATAGCTTATCCATTTTAATCAATACTTGAAAAATTGTTGTCATTCACTTTTATATTTTAAGACTTTAATGTTATCTAAATGTGAATTGTTAATAAAAATTGTTATCAAAGAATCAATTTTTTTAATAGTTTATTTATTTTAGGCAATACCTAAATAATTTTTATCATTCACTTCCAAGTTTGAAACTTTAATTTTATCCCAGTGTGAACCCTCAATAAAAGTTGCCATCGAGGAATTAATTTTTGTTAATAGTTTGTTCATTTTAGACAATACTTAAAGAATTGTTGTCATTCACTTTTCTGTTTTAAGACTTTAATTTGACTAAGAATAAACCATTAATAGAATAGATGTTATTATTAAGAAATTAATTTTTGTTAATAGTTTATTCATTTCATGCGAGGTGTTCTCATCCACTCTCATATTTTAAGACTTAATTTTATCTAAGTGAACTCTCGGTAAAAATTATTATTTAGGAATCAATTTTTGTTAATAACATACTTTAGGTAATACTTAAAGAATAGTTGTCATTCACTTTCACATTTTAAGACTTTAAAACAAATAAATTATTAACAAAAAATTGGTTTATTAATAATAAATTTTATTGACAATTCACACTTGAGTAACATTAAAATCTTGAAATATGAAAGTGAATGACAATAATTTTTCAGGTATTGCCTAAAATGAATAAGTTATTAATAAAAATTGATTCCTCAATAACAACTTTTATTAACGGTCCTCGCTTGTGTAAAATTAAAGTTCTAAAACTTGAAAGTGAATAATTTTTGAGGTGTTACCTAAAATGAATAAGCCATTAACAAAAATTGATTCCTTAGTAATAACTCTATATGCAGTGTATATATAATTTAGAGCTAGTGGTGTCTCTTAACAACTTTTTAATATTTTAAATTAGCCCACCCATCCTGATAGAGTATTATACAAATTTAACAACGTTATTTGTCTTTTGCACATTGTAAAGGCGTTTTTGTAGGATTTTCCCTGACTTTTTCTTCCTTTCACAGTTACTTTTTAATTAAAACCATGTGCTAACTGTCTAATCCAAGTTGTCTAATTGCATTTTTTATAATTTAGACTTAGTCCTAAAATTAAGTTGCATATCCAATGGCCATAAATATAAAAATAAAAAGATAATTCGTGTTGTGTCATCATAAAGATAAATAAGTAAATAATTCGCGTTGACTGCGAATTCCAAGAAACTCATTATCAAATGCCATTGAAAAATCAACTGGATTTGAGTAGTTAATATTTTATCATTAAAGTCAAATGTCTGAAGAACACAAGATGTATTATTGATTATTAAGGTTGTTCTTAGGTACCAAAGTCTATTTATTTCAGGTTTTTTAATTAAAATATTTAAATTTAAAAATATCTTTAAAATGTCAGTAATAAGAGTTAATAATAATTAAGGCATACTGGGCATAAATAATAAAATCTCCCATCTTTAGACCTTCGCGTTCTAATCGTGGTGCTTCTTTTCTCGACAAGACCCCAAATGAAAAATAAAACTTCGGTGTAATTTCAATACTTTTTGTTTTGACACCATATTTTGATCCAAAATTTTAGGACATAAATTCTTTTCACATTAAAGTTTTCTTCATTCCATCCCTATCCAATGCAGATTTCTTATCTTACTCCAAATAACAAGAAAAAAAAATCCTATATATTACACACATTAAAAAAAATGAGTGGCATTATTCATAACTTTTAAATACTATAATTATCAAACATTTTGATTTATTTTTTTTATTTCAATGCTCTATAAATAAATAATACTACTATCTTGTGTTAGGCGGCATGCCATCATCATTTACTTGTTCATATCTGTCTGAGGAGTTTTAAACACAGAGTCAACTTATATATGAGTAGTCAATATCCATTAAAGTCAAATATTTGATGAATAGAAGGTGTAATTGATCCTTTAAGGTTGTTTTTAGGTACTCAAGTTTATATGTTTAACGTATTTTTTAATTAAAATGAAATAAATAGATTTTGAAATTAAAATTAAAAGGATGTCTAAAGTTTTAATAAATAATAATGGATTTTATCATTTTAATAACTAATGTAAGAACTTGAGGTAGAAGCTCTTGTGCTTTTATCCAAAAGTTGGGATTTAATTCCTAACCATTAAAAAAAACTGTATAAATTCTTAGTTCTTCTTTTTTTTTTTTTTACCAGTCATTAAAAAAACTTCATAGCTCGTGGTCTTATTAGAGCTTTTGATTATCATACATAAATTTTTGTTATAAAATTTATATAATTTAGGGAAAATTAATTGTTTGGTCCATATAATTTTGACCTATTATAATTCATTCCCTGGACATTAACTCAGGGGATGTTTGGTTACCTCAGAAGTGCTTTTTAAAAACATTTTTGGCAAATCGAGACAAATTTCTCAACATATTCACTTCGTATACCGTAAAAATATTTTTGAAACTATAATTTGTTTTACCCAAACACTCCCTTAGCATAACTCAATCCTAAAAAAGAAGTAGAGAGAGAGAAAAAAAAAAAAAAAGCACATGCAGTACGTGTGTTAGTTTGTTAGTGTGTGTACGTTTAAGACTTTAAGATTAAAATTTATTATATGTTAATTATTCATTTTAAAGATGTTTGTTGAGAACATTAATAACGAGAAATTATATAGTTTAATAGTTGTCATATCACCATTCACCAACTTCAATTATATATTTATATTTCGACGAGTTGGCGTAGTCAGCGAACATAATGAAACAGAGACGTTCATT